TAGCGTTGTCAATTGAGTTTGCCCTATCGGATATGATTGTCAGATTGCTAATAGGACCTATGCAATCCCTAAGATGCCCCATAAACCATGTTCATGAATCAGAGATTTCAGATTTGCCAACCCCGTAAGCTATTGGTAGTATCCCATTGTTAGCATCCATGGCTACTACTAATAAGTTTACTCCAAGGTATCGACCTTTTAAATGTGCTCCGTCAACTATAATAACTGGGCGCATGCAATTAATAAACGAACGAATCTACAAAATCATATACACAAGAAATATAATCATTTAAATGTGAAATACATGTAACTAACAAAAATGAGTCAACAAAATTATATTGATTTATTAACCGCATCACCAATGGTGATAAACAGCAACTCAAAGCGTCCATCTCTATCTGTTTTGATATGAGTTACCGACCCAGGATTTTTCAGCTTTAAATTGTGACAATAAAGCCGGCAGTTGGGCAAACGATGCTTCTGGTGACCCCCTCAACAATTCCAAGGCATAACATTTGGCTCTCCAAGCTTGAGAATATGAGGTACTAATCTTGAACCGAGCATTCATGTCAGTCATAATTTCATGTCCCCGATATACCCTACCATTCAAAAACATTAACTCAGCCAGAAAACCACCCAACACCTTTTTGTTTGCCTGTCTATGGTGAGGAAAAACTTGGGTTCTTGAACATGTATGTTTATCAATAAAATTCCTAACTTGAAAGATTTCGCAATCTTTTATCCTCTTTGCAATCATACGCTACATACAGTTTTTGTCAATCATACACCTTGTTTCGAAACAATCTTTGCTTGATTTGTTAACTTTTAGTTGATAGCCATCTTCCACACATTTCGTATACAAAGTTATCTTCAAGTCTTCCTTTGTATCAAAACAATTATCTTTCTTGATACGAATAATTTTTGTGTAACAATCAACTGTTATCTTTACCAACTCTTCTTCCGGTATCTGAAGTAATTCTGGCATATTCCAGTTATACTCCCGTGGCATTTTCTTCGGGGACTTTTCTTTGGGGATTTCTTCTTCTTCTTTTTCTTCTTCAGTGTTATATGAATTACAGAATGGATGTTCAACATGTTCATTTACAGTCGTAACTTCCTCCTCATTATCATCAACAACATCTTCCTCGTCAACGGTTGTTTCATCATCAAAATTCGGGTATTGACCAATATCAAAATCATTACATGCAGGGTCTGTTTCTTCTTCTGAAAAATCATCAAAATCCGAGTATTGACCAAGATCAAAGTCTGGGTATTGACCAAGATTAAATTTCGAATACTGACTAGTACTCACAATTTTTTCTGTTGGCTCATCATCGTCTAACTGATCAATACGAAAACCGGAATTTGGTGCTGAAAGTTGATTGGGATTTGGATTAGGGAAAGGTTATGGGTTTTGATATTGTGTTTGGTATTGGAAATGTGGTGAAACAATATTTGCTTGGTGATGAAATTGTGGTAAAACCATTAAATTTTGAGCACCATAAACTGGGGTTGAAAAACTTAGTTGATTACTACCCGCTACTGACCCAACTTCACTACTTCTAGGTTTAACAACATACAATGTAACATCATCACTTGAAACACTAATGTAAGCATTGAATCGTTCAACATCTTCATTGTCGGTTAACAAATAAACTTTACCATTTCTCTGATAAGATAGCCTAAATCCACTTAGGGGCTCTAAATTCAATTTATTTGCAACACGTAACATTAGAGTTTCATAAGTTAACTTTTTTAATGACAGTTTTAGTTGAAGATTCATAGGTAAAGACATATATTGTAAAACACCATGAACATTCTCATATGACCCTCCAAAACACAAATCTATCCAAACATGATCAACATTAGATGATTTCATTATTGTAATTTATTTTCTAAACAAACGAGCTGCGAAACTAAAACCTGTTGCCGGATGGGGAAGGATGTCGTTGGATATAGGAACGGATGTCGCCGGAGAGAGTGATAGATGGAGATGGAATGAGTTGCGATTTAGGGATTTAGGTTATGAGTTGCTGCTGCTGCATAGTTATATACCCAAAACATTTGTGTTGCGAAATTAAAACCTGTTGCGAATTCAGAAATCGAGTTGCGAATTTGAAATTCAGTATTGCGATAGTCAGAATCTCGTTGCGATTTACGTATTCGCAATGCGATTTACGTAATCGCGTTGCGAATTAGGAAAATCGCAACGCGAATTTGGGAAATCGCAATGCGATAGTCAGAATCGCGTTGCGAATCTGGAAACTGATTTGCGATACCGGAGATCGCGTTGCGAATTATCGATCGCATTGCAATTTAGTTGGTCATTTTGGTAAATCCAAAAAAAGTTGGTTAAAATCGTATATTATAAGGCATTTTTTGTCACTGAGGTTATTTTCTCTTGTTTGAATCACAATAAAATTAATCACTCAAGATCATACAAAGACTATACAAAGAAAATATTAAAAAATCTAATCAAATAAAATCAAATCAAACAAAATGTAGATACGAAGAGATCTAATCGCATCGATAAACAAATCTCGATAGGGGATGAAACTATTGAAAGACCACCGACAAACTTCAATTTAGAATCAAACGATATTAAAATATCCATAAACGCAAATTGCGTATCCAAATCTAATTTAAAGGTTCAAAGAAGGGAAGATCGACATGATAACAAATAAGCGTCGTCTTGATTAGTTGTGACAATATCAAATCCAACCCTAAAAAAAGATAAACGAAAAAATGACCAAACGATCGAAGACGTTCCATAAAGACAAAAAAACACATGTTATAGAGGCAAAAGAAGACGTGTCATAAACGTAAAACTTTATAAATTAAGAAAAAAGAAAAACAAAGATATGTTATAATAATAAATAAATAAATAAAAGACGATTAACGATCATCACCAAAATTAATATCATTATAGATCATAAAGATAAAGAAAAAAAATAGACTAAAGAAAATAAAAACCAATTAAAGGATAACTCTTTAAGAAAAAAAATTCTTTCAATTTTCGTATTTAATTATTGGAAATTATTTATCAAAAGAGATTACGTGTATAGCTGTGATTGGACAAATTGCCTCACGATCGTTTTATCATGTGGAATTATTTATAAATCTGGTTTTGGATAATATGAAATCAAATTTTGTAAACGTGAAGCTATTAACGGAGCTTCGTTGGTTGTGGGAATGCAATTGTCCCTTTCAATTTTTTTGGTCAATTGCTTTTTAGGCCCCAATAGTTTTAGAAATATTAAAAATTTACTCATATCCTTAACTTTTGTGGTTCAATTGATCTTTACATACTGTCAATTTTGAAGTAGGGATGGAAAACGAGTATAATTTCGTGGATTTAGCACCGTATCTGCTCCAATTGGGGCGGGGATGGGTATAACTTTATTGGGTAGTGGACGGGTGTGGAATTAAAAAGTGGTACCCGTCGCGGGTAGTGGGCGAGTGATGGGTTTGAGACCTTACCCGCCCCGCATCCGCCCGCCCCACATCCGCTCACTCACTAAATGTCCATTAAATTTTGGACCATTATAAATTTAGGTATAATTTTAGGGTATGTCATTTATGTGTGCCAAATAACAAAAATATTATGTGTTTGTCATTTATGTTTCTAGACTTTAATTATGTCTTTTATTATGGTATTTTATGTACTTTAAGATCTATGTTAACACTTAACTCAGATAATCCTTGGTTTATTTTATTATGTTTCTTAATGAATGTGTTTGTTTTATGTTTGTTGCTTATGTATAACTTAAGGTTACTGTAAGGCGGGTCTAGGCGGATCTAGCCGGGTACGTCTCCAGTTGGGTAGTGGGTGTGGGAATGGATTTGAGAATGTGCCCGCGTGAGCGGGTTTGGATTTAAATTTTTTTACCTATCATGGGTGGTGGGCGGGTAATGAATTTAAAAATATTAAGTGAGTATGGGTATGGGTATGGGTATGGGGGATGGGGTATCCGCACCCGACCCGCACGTTTGCCATCCCTATTTTGAAGTCAATGTGTTTAAGTTTAACCCTCAAAATTTTAATTCGTAAGCATTTGAGCCTCAAATTGGACAATTCTTATAACTTTGTACGCCTTTGGGCTTTGTTTAATTCGTAAACTTTGTAGAGACTTATAATTTAATAAGCGATTTTAGTAATAAAAAACACTGTTATTTTTTTAGAAGTTTAAAATTCAAACAATTATATTTATAGAGTATGTATGTATTTATTTTCAGTTAATTAATTTTTTTTAAATATGTATTATCTCATAATCATCTCAAACTCAACTACTATTATTGTTAAATGTAAACATTAATGTGCATAAAATAACACATAATTCTCGTATTATATTAAAAAATAATTTAAAGTAAGAAATGTAATTCTCTCTTAAGGTCATGATGTAATTTATATTATAATAAATTCTAAAATGAAAATCCACATCAAATATTTATTCGTTATTAAGAAAGAAAAGTCACAAATATTAATAAAAAATCATTTTATTTTTAACAATATAAAAATAAATCTATGTATTTTTTTTAAATTTCTAAAATTAAATAGAATTAAAAAAATTTGGTGTATATTGATCAAAAATTAATCATATGTATATAATTATATCAAATCAAAATTCATAAATTAAAATATACCTTAAATCAAATTTTATGTATAAAGCTGATGTATATCCGTATTTATATAACTTTCATTTAGAAAAGAGTATTTTTATATATAAAAAAATGTATTTATTTTTAAATTTAACGACTGATTTAGTATATGATTAATCTAAAATACCAATTCATTATGATCTTTTAGTATTTTATAAAACAAATCGATATGGATAAATAAAAACAGTTTGATTTCTAAATTTTGGATTCCAGAAAACAAATTCCCGTTAATTCGTTAACAACGACGCAAATTTTTAAACATCTCTATGATATTGTCTTCTCCCTTTTATTGGCTCTTCAAATCTCCTCTTAAGAAAACAAATGAGTACCGGTAACCAAACATGATTTCCGATAAGCAAAGGAAGGCCATCAAGCGCCAGCAACTCCAGCATCGTTTCCACATACGAAGATGTTGCTCCGGCAGAAAGATCAACTCCATCACCACCGTTGCATCGATAAACAAGTCCATCCTCAAGTATGGTCATCGATTCACCCGAGTTTTCGTCGAGTTCGCCCACCGAGTTACCCCATCATGTCGCGTTATCGGAGAGAACCCGATTATTGCCCGCTTTGACGATGACGGTGATGTTAAATCCAATCCTAGAATTGAATGCGAAACATGTAGCTTCAACATTTTGCCTAGGTCACCGGTTCTCCTCATGCAAAGGAATTTGTTACTACCAGCATTGGGGTCGGATAAAATAGGGACCATTGTGCTTGACTTGGACGAGACATTGGTGCATTCAAGCCTAGGCCCCCCACCGCCGAGATACGATTTCACCGTTTCGAGGGTCATGGACGGAGTTATGATCTATTTCTACGTGTTTAAACGGCCCGGGGTCGACGAATTCTTGGAGATTATCAGCAAGAAATACGAGATTGTCATGTTCACGGCGGGGCACAAAGCGTATGCTTCCAAGGTGCTCGACGTACTCGACCCTAACAGCTACATATCACATAGGTTTTATAGGGACTCATGCAAAAAAGTGCGTGGGGATTTCGTAAAGGACTTGTCGGAGTTCGGGAGGGACTTGAGGAAGGTCACGATAGTCGACGACAACCCGAAGTCGTACTCGTTGCAACCCGAAAACGGGATTCCGATCAAGCCGTTTTATGGCGAGGAGCTCTGGGATCGGGAGTTGATGAAGTTAGCCGGATTTTTCGAGAAATGTGATGTTTTTCCAGATATGAGAGACGCTGTGTATCAGTATCTGGGAGGTTCAACTAAAGGAATAAGATTGTTTTGATAAGAATTTCAATGGAAGCATTTTAGGGTTATAGCAAGCTCCTAGTAAACTTTTTCAATAATTATTTGTTACGTTTATAATGTTACATTATTTTTACTTTAATAAATTTATTTAAGCTTTTATTCTTTTCGTATTGAATATAAATTGATAAATGTAAATTAATATAATTTTAAAAGAAATAGAACCGAACTGCATGTAATCGCCACTGTGTCGTTCGACACCAACGTCAAGAAGAACCGAACAGCATGGAATCCAATGTCGGGCCTAAAATTAAACTCAAATTAAACACCAGGTTGTCGGTTAATCCTCGAGCTGTCGTAACGAAAGAGAAGCAGCATCGACACCGATATTTGCAGCGGTCTGCTAATAGCGCTCCGCTTGTTATATAGCAGTAATGGTATCATCTTATGCTATTGTCATATGACTGTGACGCCCGCAATCACCACAATAATACTTGTTATATCACAATCATGATAAATGTAATCCGAATGAAACATTATTTAAATCTGTCATCCTCCACTGGTTCCTCCCAAGAAAAAGAGCCATCATGCTCGACTTGAACGAGACTTGGTGCATTCAACAACCGACCCACTACCTGTTAGTTATGACTTTATGACATGGACAAATACAATATTTTTATTAAGAGCGAATTTAAAAAAGTAGAAGAGAAGACAAATTTATAAAACTTTAAGGGCGAAGAGATTATTAATAGAAAATATAAAAATAATGTCTAAAATATATGACAATTTGATGTTATAATTGAAGAAAATTGAGTTAGAAATCTCACTTTCATAATAAACTTTTAGAATAATTAATTTGAATTAATTAACCAAATGTCAAATAGGGGTGATTGTAATAAAAATAAACGTAAATTACGAAATGATTCTAAAACTTTTATTTTTATAAAAGAATTGGTTATGGATCTCTCTTGTTTTTTTGATGATAGAGGATATTCTTCCAAATTCTAAAGGTGAGGCGGAGAAAAAGATGAATTTTATATCTTGATTTCATGTTGATTAAATAGTGAATATTGTATATTAGAATGGTTTGGAATTTTGCGATTTTTAGATTTTGAGCTAAATTTCACGAGTCTTAAAATAATTATGAGAAAATCTAAACTAATGATGGTAGTAATCGATAAAAAGAGTTCATCAATATCTTGAGTGATTGGAGAAGACGTCAAAGAATGATGATTTCGATGTTCCTTGACGCATGCACAAAATCATAAAACTTTTCTTCTTTGGGGAAGAAGATAAAATAAAAAAGAGGAAAATAATATGGATGACATGGACCACGGTGAGCCGGGCTATCTAATAATTTCTCCCGTAAGAGCGTCTATTTCAACACATGTAAACCAACTTATCTCAGTTGTTAAAGAAATCGTTGTTGTTCATAGATGTCACGAGTTTGAGCACTAGCAACAGCAACAGCAACAACAGGGTGATTGAACTTTTATTGTCAATTGATTGAGAATATTTAGAATAGATTCTACTTGTAATCACTTTAGCTTAATAAAAAAATTGTCATTTTGTTTATAATTTAACCTCAAGTGACCAAAGTGTGAGTAAATGAAAAGTTTAATAGTTAAATTAAAAGCTTTAAAATTTTAATGAGTAAAATTCGAATAAAATCAAAATCGAGTATGAGATTTATAATTTACCTAACAAATATAATTCCATTAAAAAAATCCTTTGAAATTAGCAACCCTCATTATAAAACCCATAAACAATAATAATAATAAAAACAATCAATAGAGTAACGGCCCCCTTACAGTCCACATAAGTTTCCAAACAAGCTTCCCACTCCGAACCTCTTTAACTTCATGACCGTTTCACCGAACCAAAAATTTGAAAGCATAACGGCGCCTTCACTGATCCCGTTATGATCCGAACCAAAGAAAACCTCCAATTTTGCTTCCATTTTTAAAATCTTACCAACTTCCCCTATTAAACGGCTAAATGATAATTCTCCATCGTCCTTTCATAATCCACAGCCCCGAAATGGTTTCCAAGATCACTAAAAAGCGATCTCCGCCGCGTTCCATCAAGCGCCACCACCGGCGAAACACATCTCCGACCAAGAAGAATGCTTCTTTCTCCGTCATCGCCTCCCTCAACAAGTCCATCAAGACTTGCCGCCGCCGGATCGTCAGGCTTTTCTCCAAGTTAGCCAACATAGCGACGACCCCTTCCACCGCCCACAAGCGCTGCCGGCGGGGCTACAGGATCCTTCACCAAGAGAAGAGTTCCCTGAATTCGAAAGCAATTTTATCGTTCCTAAAGCTCTCGTATTCGACCAGTTCTTGCTTCCGCCATTGATTTCCACGACGAAAAGGACCATCTTTCTTGATCTGGACGAGACCTTAGTGCATTCCAGCCCCGACCTGCCACCGAAAACGTATGATTTCACAGTAACGCCGAGCATCGACGGCCAAATCATGAACTTTTATGTATTAAAACGGCCCGGGGTCGATTTTTTCTTGGAAGAAATCAGCAAGAAACACGAGGTGGTGGTTTTCACGGCGGGGCTGAAACAGTACGCTTCTCAGGTTCTCGATAAGCTCGATCCCAAAGGACTCTTCATATCGCACCGGCTTTATCGGGATTCGTGCAAGGAAGTGAACGGGAAGTTCGTCAAAGACTTGTCCGGAATGGGAAGAGATTTGAGTAGAATTGTCATCGTTGACGATAACCCAAATGCATACTCTCTGCAACCGGAGAACGCCGTCCCTATACGGCCATTTGTAGCGGATAGTGAAGACAGGGAGCTGGAGAAGTTGCTCCGGTTCTTAGAGCGGTCTGAACAGTTTGAGGATATGAGAGTGGCGGTTAAACAGTGTTTTAACGGTGGCTGAGCTGATGATTATGGCTTTGTGCAGTTGAAATTATGACGCCTTGCTTTGTTCTTTCAAAGATTGTTCGATTTCTTTCTTCTTTTGGGAATTTCGTTTTTGAACAACAGATATTTTTCAAGGTTTGCGTTGTGTTTTAGATCAAATTCCACTTCTTCTTCTTCTTCATTGCTATGTTCTTCAATTTCTTTTGTTTTCAGATAATTTAGGATCCATTACTAGTTTCAAACTTTTGAAGCACATATAATTGAAGTTAAAGCAACGCTTCTAGTTCAAATGAAGTTTGAAAAAAGACATATTGGTAGGACCATTTACTCTAAAGAAACAAAGAAAAAAAAATTACAATTAGATTTTTTTTTAAATTCTGGTAGAATTCCAAATTTTTTTATTATAAATATAAAGAAGATTGAATTTAAAGAATTATTTTTTTGTTGATATTTATGTTATTAAATTTAGATTAATATATTTATAATTTTTAAAAAAATATATAAATTAATAAATTAAATATTTAATATATTTCAATAAAATTTTAAGTTTTCAAGGCAACACAAATTCGTCCATCTCATTTCTTCAGTATTATAATGATTTTAATGAATTGTGCAAATAAAAAATAATAATGTTTTCTCTTTTTTGTCGAGATAATTGTTCTTAAATTTTAATTATTGTTTTAGATTAATTCATAAAAGTTTAAATATAATAATTTTATCTTCCAATTATGACTATTGTTTTGGATTGGTTTTCAATTTTTTTTGAATGTTTTATATTCATCCTCAAATTGTGACTCTTGTTCTATATTAGTCTTTAAAATTTTGAATGTTTCAATTTTATCTCTAATTTTTAAATGATTTTGGAGGATGCTATTGGGATGTTTAAAAGTTTGGGAATCAATATAGAATAAGAGTCATAATCTATGGATGAAATTAGAGTGTTCAAAAGTTTAAAAATCAATCTAGAATGAGAATCATAGTTCAAGGATTAATTTGAAATGCTTAAAAGTTTGACATCAATTTAAGACGAGAATCATAATTTAAAGATGAAATTAAAATTTTTAAAAGTTTATAGACCTAATTTTATAAGTTTATAATAAAAAAATATATATTTTTCTTTGAAAAGTATGTAAAAAGATATATTATTATATAAGATTAGGTCGAATATTTTTCATCATAAATTTTACTTCACTTAATTTGATTGTGTATTCACAAAATCTGACCTAACCTATCCTTGTACTTTTATTTTTATAAAGTTAATCTCACAAAATTAAATTAAATCACAATTCAACAAATCTAATATTCATTCCTATCCTTACTTATAATATTAAACAATCTAATCCATTAATCAAATCACTTAACATACAAAAGAAATACAGAAGAAAAGAAAGGAAAATCCCTTAATTTTTTAATATCATTAGAGATTTTCTCATCAAACACCAAAAACATTAAGATACATATCATATAACATCATCCATGTATTTAGACAATTTTCTCTATATTTCATACAATATATTTTAGTTATTTTATTATATGTAAATTATTAATCTATTTTTTTTTATATATTTTATGGATTTTAAAATTTTAATTTTAATTCAAATTATATGATAAAATTATTATCGTATCAAAATATAAAAGTTAAATAAACAATTTATATATTATAAAGACTAATAAAAAATAACCATTAAAAAATTGTTGAACCATGATTTGAGATTTTGATATACCAAAAGTAAATAAGTTTAAAGAAATTTTAAGATTATTTTTAATTCAATTTTCAAGCTTATATTTGATTGAACCATTAGAATATAAAAATTCTTTTTAAAGTCAAAAACTTCATCTTTACTCCTTGCTCTTTTGAAAAACTCAAGTCATATACTGGAAATAATTTTCAAACATTTTACAAAGGGTTTCGAATCTTAATCGAGTCAAAATTAAATTTTAACACTAAAGTACGATACTGCAAGAACAATATCGTTACTGTTCATGTGGTACTGATTTTGGTACTGATACTAATGTGTAAAATTACACTGTATTATTGATACTGGTATTGATACTAATGTGTAAAAATACATTGCAATATCGATACTGGTACCGATACTCCTTTTAAGTTTTTGACAAACACCGATTCCAATAGGCTATTTTTGTCAATATTGGTATCGATA